CCCCTCTCCCCCTCTCCCATCTCTCTCTGCCTCTCCCATCTCTCTCTGCCTCTCCCCAACTTGTGCTGTGTCTTTCTCTCAAAATAAATAAAAACTTTTAAAAAATTAAAAAGAAATAGATGTAAAGATTTGGAAAGGTTATGGAAAAGTCTAGGGGGAAAATATAGTTTTCTCTTAATTTTTTTCTCCTGTTTAGAAAAATGGGGGAAAAGATGTGAATAATTGAGGGAAGGGAGAAATTTATTCAAACTTGGAATGGTTGCTTTCCCTGTGGATTTGTTGTCTTTATCCCTGCTCTGATTCCTTCTTTCATAGTTAGCCCCCTGCTGTGCATTCCCTCTAGCATTTATGGAAAGCCCTTTTAAGGATTCCTATTGAAAAACTCATGTTTTTCTTTTTCTTTTTAAAATTTTTTAAAGTATATTTATTTATTTTTGAGAGAGAGCGAGAGAGAGAGTGAGCGAGCATGGGCAGGGGGTGGGCAGAGAGAGGGAGAGCATTCCAAGCAAACTCTGTGCTGTTAGCGTGGAGCTTGACATGGGGCTTGATCCCACGAACCGTGAGATCATGACTTAAGCCGAGATCAAGAATTGGATGCCTAACCGTCTGAGCCACCCAGGTGCCCTGAGAAACTCATTGTCTTCTTAGGGAGAACGAATTGGATTTCACTAATGGATTCAGGGATCTTTATGTGTTCAACTGGTTTTCAAAAAAGTGAATTAAGCCTTTTGTGATCTATCGAAAAGCTGTAGAAAAGTTCTTTAATAGAAAGGCAAATCTTTAGGTTCTTGCTGCCCAGAAGCTTGATAGGAGGATTCCATGACAGGATTAAAATTTCTCCTGTTTCTTGATTGAGCTGGTGTTTGACCACATCTCTGTTACATCTTCAGGTGCCCTTTCTGTCTGTGGGTGGGGACATTGGGGTCCGGACCGTTCAGCACCAAGCCTGCAGTCCCTTGAGTGGCAACTATGTCGTCGAGGACGTGCAGGGGGATGACAAGCGCTACTTCCGGCGGCTGATCTTCCTCAGCAACAGGAATGTGGTGCAGTCAGAAGCTAGGTTGCTGAAGGATGTGTCCCACAGAGGTGAGGTGTCATCACACATGACCCAAGCGGTCATGGCATGGACTCTCCACTTGGGGTGGTCAGAAAGTGTTGGGAGCTTGGCTGAGTTGTAGGACAGACCTGGGTACGTGTGATCAGAGGCACATGGCTCTTCGAGTTGTCCTGTTACCATCTGGACTCAGTCTAAGTGACAATAAACAGAACAGAGGTGTGTTTTGTTCTCAAGCAAAGACTCTGAAATGATAAGGAGCTGGGATGGTAGCTTACCAAATAAATGTGATTGTCACTTTAATGCCTTCAGCGTAGAGGTCATCTGTTTCGCACATTGCTCCTTATGCATCTGTATATTCATTCAGTAAGGCTCTGTGAGGAGAGCCACAAGCATGGAGGGTCCAGGTGAACCCTGCCCTCCTTCACAGCACCACCCCCTAGCATGTTTTAGAGAGGGCATTAGAGTTGGTGGGTACTTAGAGGTCATCTAGTCCAGTGCTATTCAGTAGAACTTTCTGAAATGGAGGGAGGGTTTAATATCCACTTAGCTGCCCAAATGGTAACCGTTAACCATATGTGGCTGCTGAGCATGTGGAATGTGGCTGGGGTAACTAAGGAACGAATCTTTAATTTATTTAATTGTAATTAAGTTACATTTACAATTCAATGGCCGCAGGTGGCTAGTGGCTACAATATTGGACTGTGAAGATCCAGGCCAGGTCCTTTAGGATCCCTTGTAAGCAGTCTCCCAGATGCCACTCAGAAACTCCCACTGGTGGGGAAAATAAGAGTTTGTTTCACCTGCTATGTTCGCCAGTTGTGCATGTTTGTATTATAAAAGCAATACTGCTCAGTGTAATCCGTTCGAAAATCAATGTATACAGTGAAAAATGAGCATCTGTTTACTATATACCAGAGGGAAGGAGTGGGGCCTTTATAGGATTTCTTCCCTTAGGTGAGCACTTGTGATTTCCTCATCTAGCAGGGCAGTGTGTATTACTGTCTGTATGGTACAGTGGAGGGATGATAGGCGTTGGAGACAGGCAGTCCTGGGTTCACATTCTGTCTGCACCTCCTGATACTGGGACTAATTATTAACTCTTCAGATCCTCAGTTTTTCCATCTGCCTAATATGGGAATTATAAGGTCGTTATAAGAGTTAAATAATTAGAAGTTGTAGCATAGTCATAGAGGAGGTAATTAGTAATTTTAAGTCCTTCTCTAAAAGGATTTGTGAATAGACTTACCCTGTTAGTGGCCTTATATTTCTCAGGGCAAAGGGGCTAGGACTCCTCAGTTTAGTTTTCCCAGGTTTTTGGGTGTGTTTTTGCCACTTTTCCTTTTTTGAGTCTGTGGTATCCAATGGTATGTGTTAAATGTTTAACAATTGTATTTTGGGGGCAAAAAGCCCTGATGTATACTGTTTGCCAATTTCTGTGGCGTAATACAGGCCACCACAGGCAGATTTCAAACTACCAACATGTCAACCATGTCACAAAATTTGTGTATATTTAGCAGTTGGGTTCTTGAGTTGGATCAAGCTAGCTACAGCACAATGCTGCTGGTTAAGTCTTGCTTTCCCCGGACTGGGGTGCTAAGCATAGTACCTCATTATCTCTATCTCTCATTTAGCCCAGAAGAAGCGGAAAAAGGACAGGAAGAAGCAGCGGCCCGCTGACACTCCAGAGGACCTCCCTGCAGCCCCGGGGCAGTCCATTGACAAGAGTTACTTGTGCTGTGAACACCACAAAGCAATGATTGCTGGCCTTGCCCTGCTGAGAAGCCCGGAGCTGCTCCTAGGTAAGCGGGGTGCACTGTCTCCCACAGTCGGGGCAAGTAAGCTTATAGACCACTCTGACAGCAGCCATTGCAGACCAACAAATGCACATGTATTTATATCTTTCTTCTTCCTGACCATCTTCTAAGTTTATCAGTCACTTTTCCCTCAAACTCAAATTGAAATCTTGAAATGGCTACATGTGTTGATGTCTAAATTCTATTAGAATTCTATTAGAATTCTATTTTGTTCATTTATTTAAAATATTAAGGTATAACATATATTTGGGGAGATATATAAAGTACACATTATAAGTATTTCAGTTTGCTGAGTGCTTGCATATGTATCTACTCCTGTAACCAGTGGAGCATTTAAAAATCATGACTCCAGAAATGGCCTTTGTACTTTAGGAGAATTTCTGGGTTATCAGTAATGCATCATTTGAGCACCAGATGCAGTTCTTCCTTAAACTTTTACTTAAAAAGCCATGTTGTTGGTAGTAGAGTAATAGCTATATTACTAATAACAGGTTTGGATCTGACCACAGTAGCAAAAATGTTCATGTTCCTGTCTAGATTGTCACTGTCTTTACCAAGGGTCCTGACTATGTCTTGTTGAAACACCCTGTCTCGGTATTGTATGTCCCTAGAGTGTCAGTTCTTATGTTTAATCCTCAGACGTTAATCTGTGTTTAACGTCTCCTTTTAGTGATTCTTTCTTGTTTCTTGCCTACTTCTATCCCCCTGTGTTTTCTGTGGTTTCTCTGTACTTAGGACTAGGATGTGGGCCTTTGTTTTCCTGTGATTTCTGGAACTTGGATTTATTGCCCTCACTTGGTTGATGTGTCTGAGAGGGCAGTTGTGGCCTTTGAGTTGAAAGCTGGGCAGAGGGCATTGCATCTACACTGCCTTGTGATCATGAGCAAGATGTTGGCTGTTGTCCCTCTCAATTCCTAGGGGGAGTCTAATGCTCATGGTGGGGACTCTTGGTATGATGTCAGCTGAGTGCCTTGGGACTTTAAGGGTCCCCAAAGAACCATGTACTGGTTCCTCTTCTGGATCTAGTAAAGGAAGGATTGTGAGGCCAGGGTTGAGTTTTCAGATGTAGATGTCAGATTGGCTCCTGCGTTTTTGGGATGAGACAGAGAAGCTAGGCCTTTAAATCTTGTATCCTCTGGGCAGAGCCAGTGATCCGACTCCCCCTTCCCTCTTTACTCTCCCCGAGGCTGGTACAAAACTGTTCCTGAGAAGATAGTAAAATGATGCTTTCTTCCTTTATTGCAGAGACCCCACTGGCATTGTTGGTGGTAGGCCTGGGCGGGGGCAGCCTCCCCCTGTTTGTCCATGATCATTTCCCGAAGTCCTGCATTGATGCTGTGGAGATCGACCCCTCCATGTTGGAGGTGGCCACCCAATGGTTTGGCTTCTCCCAGAGCGACCGGATGAAGGTCCACATTGCAGATGGCCTGGACTATATTACCAGCCTGGCAGGAAGAGAAGGTACTGCAATTGGAGAATTCGGAGGGATGTTGAGGGAAGAGTAATCCAAGCTTGGCAGACCTGCAAGGGCTTCTAGAATTCCTCTGTAAGAGAGCAGCGTTAGGATCGTCCCAGTCTTTCACCTGTTCATTTCTTCGTTCATTGGTTGACCTATTGATTCAGTGAATATAGAGTGCTAGCCATATGCTCAATACTGTGCTAGGAGAACTCACTTCTGGGGCGCCTGGGTGGCTTAGTTGGTTAAGCGTCTGACTCTTGATTTCGGCTCAGGTCATGATGTCATGGTTGTGAGATCGAGCCCGACATTGAGCTCTACGCCAGGCGTGGAACTTACTTAAGATTCTCTATCTCCCTCTCTCCCTCCCCTACTCTCTCTCTCTTGCCCTAATAAATAAATAAATAATAAAAACAACAACAGTGAAAAACCCCACACCGTTTCTGCCCTTGTGACGCTAACAGATCAGTGGGCTTCTCCTGATTCTCTTCTGACCCTGTGTCCTTGCCACTTCCTCACCTTCCCATGGAACCTAACGTCTGTAGTCAGGTGAACAGAAGGGGGAAAGGATTTGGGGTGTGTGTCAGGAGGTGTTTTGTAAATCTTTCAGCTGGAGGTGAAGCCAGAGATAGCGTTCGTGTAGCCCAGTGACTAAACCTGCGGGGCGCTGGGCAGTGGCTGCAGACGGGTGTTAGGTGGTTGTAACCACCGGGTAGGGCTGCTCCGGGCAGCGCGTGAGTAGAGCCTGAAGATGCTGCTAAACATCCTGCAGTGCCCGGGACGGCCACCCACGACAAAGAATCGTCTGGCCCCAGATGGCAGTCGTGCTGAGGATGTGAAACCCTGATATAGATGCCACTCGGCGGGGATTCTGATGGAGTGAAGGCTCCGTTTTGCTCTAATGATTCGTATCCCAGACGGAGGACAAAAGGCATGTTAATGTTCTGCAGTGGCTCCTCCGGTCCTTCTGCCACTTTACACGTAGGCTCCCGTGACTGGTGCTTTCCGGAGTGTGTGTCCCTCAGGGAGAAGTCAGTCAGGCTGGTCCAGGCTTAAGGGAACCTGGGGAGCTTAGGCCACCCACCCTTCCTGGTCTGCCCATTCCATACCTGATACTCTGGCTCTCGCTGCATTAGAGTGGCTCCCAGGAGGGTGTGGCAAATCAGGATGCCGGGGGTGAGTCCTTTGGTGCTGGGTGGACAGATGGTGCGTTCACGGTCATTGCAAACTGAACTGAACTATATCAGAGTTTCACAGGTGACCTGTCTGAGTCTGGGGCCAGTGTGGGGGCCCAGGCCCAACCTAGCCAATACATGGGAAACACTTAAAACCGTGCTAGGCTCCTGGCAGGCACTTTGTGCGTGATGTGTTGCCATTGTGACTGCCTGTCGGTCAGTGTTGAACAGCCTGGCGATCATGTCTAACAGCCACCTTCCAGATTGTTGGAGGGCTCAGTGCTACAAATGGGGGCAGTGGTGTCCTTGGACTTTGATGAGCCAACATGTTCTGCTAAGAAACCAAAATGAGATCTGTGCTGTGGATACTAACTGGCTTGTAGGAGTCCTAAGTCAAGATTTATTAATTAATGAATAATCATTATCATAGTCTCAAAGTTTGCTAAAAGTCAGTAGCATTGCAGACTTACCCCTTGTAAAAGACATTCCCATCATACAAAGGAGTGCATCTGGTTCATAATCAGGTCTTTCTCACCCATTTAGCAAATCTATCTTTCCTGAGTCAGCTGTTGTTCAATTAACTAGAAAAGATATACCAACTTTAATTTGAGAACGTTTTTGTCCTGCAGACATTTGCTGGGTCAGTCCCTAAAGGCTTAGGCAGCTGCTTTGCCTAGATCAATGGTTCTCAACTCTGCCTGTATTTAGAATTACCTGGCAGTTTAAGAAAAATACCAGAAGCTTCCCATCTCCCCTCCCCATCTGTTCCTTCCCTGTCCAGTGTTTTTGACTCAGTTTATTAGGAACGGAGCCCAGGTTTCTAAGTGTTTAGAACATTCCCAGTCTCTAATGTTCTGCTACGTCAAAATACTGGTACAAACGGACCCTTCATCAAGTAGTAATCAAGCTAGAGGACACCATTAATGTGTTTGGAAGTCTTTTGAAAGTGCCTCTTTTTTAATGTTTATTTTTGACAGAGAGAGAGAGAGAAAGAGAGACAGGGTGCGAGCAGGGGAGGGACAGAGAGAGAGGGAGACACAGAATCTGAAGCAGGCTCCAAGACGCAGGGCTTGAACCCACAAACCATGAGATCATGACCTGAGCCGAAGTCAGATGCTTAACTGAGCCATCCAGGCGCCCCTGGAAAGTGCTTTCAAATGTGGAAGAAGATGAGATGAATGCCCTGTCTCTCAGGTGGGGTGCTCACAGGAGAACCCTGACTGACAAGGACTCCCCTGACAGTGACATCAGTGCCCTTACAGGCGAACCACAGCCTCCACGTCATCCTAACTGAGCCGCTTGCGGCCCCCACAGGTCACAGGGGAGATGCGGTGTAAGCGTGTAAGTGGTGTGAGGCAGAGCCTTGTTTGCTTCTCTTTCCCAGTGCGGCCCCACTACAGCGTCATCATGTTTGACGTAGACAGTAAGGACCCAACACTGGGGATGAGTTGTCCGCCGCCGGCTTTTGTGGACCAGCCTTTCCTGCAGAAGGTCAAAAGCATCTTGACTCCTGAAGGTAGGAAGACAAAGGTTGGGGAGGGAGGAGGGGTGGGTCCTTTAAATTTGTTTTTCTTTTCAAATGAAAAATGCTCATGTCAGAAGTGTGTGGCTCAGTGAGTTGCCCCAAATTGAACACTCTTATTTATTCTCATCAAACACAGAACATTTCCAGCACCCCAGAAAGTCTACCTCTTACTTCCTTCCAGTAACTCATTCTCCTCTCAAGGATAGTGACTATCCTAACTTAAGTTAGCACAGCTTAGTTTTGCCCATTTTTGTTGTTTATATAAATGGAATCTTATGGAATGTGGTCTTTAAGTGTTTGTTTTCTTTCACTCAATATGATGTTTGTGAGCTTCATCTATGGTGTTGTGTTTATATTGTTCCTTTTTATTGCTGTGTAGTGTCGTCGTGTGACTGTACCACATTCGTGTCTCCATTCTCCTGGTGGTATTGGATTATGTGGGACTTTTATAAGTAGTACTGACCATAACGTTCCAGTAGATGCCTTTTGGTGAAATAGATTTGCAGGTCTGTTGGGCATATATGAAGGCTTGTGATTGCTAGAACATAGATCACGTGTATGCTCGAGTTTTCTAGGTGCTGCCACACAGTTTTACAAAGTGAATATAGCAATTCACATTTCCACCAGCTTGGTCACGTTAGCTACCATTTGATTTCTTTCCACATGCCCTGGACTAGGCAGAATGGTATTTCCTCTTCATAGCAGCCCATTTTCAAATGAGGAAACTGAAGTAAAGAGACTTTGCCAAGGTGACACAAAGTGACAGCTGGAGCTTCAGCCCAAGTCCTTGCGACTTGGACACTGGAGCTCTTCATCCATATGTTGACATCCTCCAAGATTTTTTTTTTTTTGGTGTCAGGTACTTGGGTGAACAGAGATATTCAGAACCTTAATTGTCACAAGTCAGGTAACATTGGCCCTCTGATTGGCCCTCTCATTATGTACTCCATAAGGTACATGCCAAGAACGTAACATCCCTGTGTGTGTTTGTTTTTTTCCCCTTGGGGATATTAATTCTTTCTCAAAGCAATTCTTTGGGAAACTGAGGTGTAGAGAATGATAAAATAATTTGTTAGCAGCATGGAAGAGGAAAAAATTAACTTGAAGTTTTCTCATAGTTCACATATTCCCCACGCTCTTCTCTCTTTTTATGTGGTGTGTTCTGTGCAAACGCAAAGCACTTGTGTTTTCTTAGCCCACCAGTGTCCCTGGGGCAGGAATTGGTATATTTCTAAGCGCGAAACCTTGTCTCCGACGTGTCCCCTGATCTGCAGGATGTGACTCTTTCCTTGCCACACCCTAGGTGTCTTTATCCTCAACCTTGTGTGCCGAGACTTGGGGCTGAAGGACTCAGTGCTGACCGGGCTCAAGGCCGTGTTCCCTCTCCTGTATGTCCGGCGAATTGAAGGTGAAGTAAACGAGATCCTGTTCTGTCAGCTGCACCCGGAGCAGAAACTTTCCACACCAGAGCTCTTGGAAATGGCCCAGGCCTTGGAGCAGACCCTGCGGAAGCCTGGGAGGGGGTGGGATGACACCTACATACTGTCAGAGATGCTCAAGACTGTGAAGATCGTGTGATTGCTGAGGCCAGGAAGTCTGCTCAGCTTCGTGCCGGACTGACCTTGGGCTCCTGGCCTGTGAGAGATTGAAGAAATATAATGCACCATATTTTTTAAGCCTCATATTTTTTCTTGGTTTCATACTCAGCTGCATGCGACCTCCAGCTTAGCGAGGTTGCCTGAAGATCTGGGAAAATAAAAAATGTCCTTCCCGTCTTGTCCTCTTTAGTTCCACTTGGTTGACCCCCTCTGCTTCCCTGTACTGTGTCCTGGAGCAGGATTCCCAGCTGATGCCTTAACGACTATACACCAAGCTCCTTAGGATGGAAGACAATCAACTTTGAGCGCTGGTTTGCTTTTGCTTTATCTTCCTATTGCTTCTGTAGGAATGATCTCCAGGGAGATAGCACAGCATTCTGTGCCAAAAGACTGTAAAAAGAGCAGGATTCCCGTAGATGTGAGACAGATTTGACAGAACATCCACTCTGCCTCCCTCCAGATAGAACTGCCGCTGACATCCCGAGTTTTAAGAATCTGGCTAACCCGCTTTACTAAGCAGCTTTCCCCAGCTATCCAAACCTTGTAGCCTAAGCTGTTTGTTCTGTTCTTGGCAGAAGGGGTGGATACGAGTGGCCCCCATAACTGTGCATGTCAGAGACAGAGACTAAAGTCTGTCTAAACCGACTAAAGTTGGTTTACTCACCTTCGCTGAGTGACAGCTGCATGTGGGACCCAGCGTAGAGAGCTGTGGTGGAAGGAAAGGTGGTTAAGAATGGGCAGAAAACATGGATTAGCAATAAAAATTAACACGTTCCAATAACTCCTTAAGTGATTTACGTAAGCTGTCTTATTTAATGAGATAAAGGAAAGTTAAGCCAAAACTACATCTAATCCCAGATCTCACTGGAGCCAGAAGCATCAAGCTTGTACAACTGTGAAACCAGCAGTTCCGAGATTGGCTTGAAGTTCATTTCTCCTAATGATGCCAGGGCTGACTTAATGAGCAGTGCCATGGAAAGTACACCTTGTCACCCTCCACCACCCCAGCTTGCTTCACAGGCCCTTTAAAATGGACTCTGAGCTCTTGAGGTGAAGCATATTTAAATTTTTTTTTTTTTTCAACGTTTATTTATTTTTGGGACAGAGAGAGACAGAGCATGAACGGGGGAGGGGCAGAGAGAGGGAGACACAGAATCGGAAACAGGCTCCAGGCTCTGAGCCATCAGCCCAGAGCCTGACGCGGGGCTCGAACTCACAGACCGCGAGATCGTGACCTGGCTGAAGTCGGACGCTTAACCGACTGCGCCACCCAGGCGCCCCGAGGTGAAGCATATTTAAAAGACAGGGTGTCATCCATACAAAATTGTGTCAGCCCATTGAAGAAGGATGTGAGGACAGAGTAGAATTTTTGGATTTTACCCATTATAAAAACTTGGTGTTCCTTAAGGGATGATCTACCCTGGAGCCATCCCGTGTCACGCCCCTGCACCTCAAAGGGCCCTAGTTTGGGGATCCTCCGTTGTTTTCTACTCTGTAAGTTCATGCAAGGTTAGGATAGGTGATAGGGGAACAGGGTCTGAGTCAAAGGATCTAGTCTGACTGCCCTTCAGTCCTCTCTTTCTAGCTGTGCTGACTTTTGAATAGCTCATTTGGGTGGCACAGCCAAACTAGGGAATTACCAGAGTGAAGATTAGATCTCAGCTATGTCTGAGGAGAGTCGTCCTGGGAGTTAGGCAGGCTTGTTGGAGAGAAGCCTCCTTGGAGGTGGGAAAAGGCCTGCAGGTGTGCCGATAGTTGTGTTAAAAATCGGGGAAGTCTGGCTGTGAAAGAAGAGTGAAGCGGCTGATGCGTGCCTCCAAAGGCTGAAGAAAGACCAGGGGGCAGAAATCACAGTTGTGCAGCTCTCAGCCTAATTGCCTACAAAAAGCCTTGTGCCAATGGAGACCACTTTGCTCACTGGATCACGTGGTGGCTCAGGCCGTTTACTCAAACACTAGTTGTGACTCCCCTCACTGTGCTCCCTAAGTTGTGAGGAAAGGGGTTTCTGTGTACAGGCACTGCCCTCGGCCTGTATCCCATCTTTCTCGATGGAGAGCTATCCCCTCTTTTGGGGGGGGTGGGGATGAGTTTCCATTTTCTTTTTTTTATCGAGATGTAATTGGCATACCACATTAATTAGTTTCAGGAGTACAACATGATTATTTGTATATATTGCAAAATGATAACCAAAATAAGTTTACTTAACATCTAAGAGCTATTCACTTTTACATGGATGACAGGCAGATGGGTCTTTATGAGAATTTTGCCTAACTAGGCACATGAATTCTGGAGTGGGGGAAGCCCGTGAACTCAGACACCTTCCAGACTAGGCAAGTAACATGAAGTGAAGTGAGACGTAAAACATAAAGGCTGGGAAGAAGCCCACGGCAAACCAGAGAGGAAGTGCCCCATCAAAAGGCAGCAGCTGTTCTGAGTGAGCACTGTCCTGGAGCGCTGTGCCAGCACTGCTAGATCTTTTAAGACCAGCAGAAATCCTGAATGTATCTGTGGTGTGAATATTAAAATGTTGGCCAATCAGGAAGTATCTTCAAGACCTATTCAACCCATGGGCAGGTAATTTGCATCTTCCACTCTAGGCGAGCGTCTACAGAGCACTTGAGGATCTGGCATACACCCAGCTCTGAGTGAGCATAAAGCAGGGAACAAGCTGGGTGCCTGGTGGCTCAGTCGGTTAAGCGTCCCACTTGGCGCAGGTCATGATCTCAGAGCTTGTGAGTTTGAGCCCCACGTTGGGCTCTGTGCCGACAGCCAGGAGTTTGCTTCAGATTCTGTCTCTGTCCCTCTCCCTCTGCCCCTCCTCTGCTTATGCTCTGTCTCTCTCTCTCAAATATAAAATAAAACATGAAAAAAAAACCATGAAAAAAGGAAGAAGATGATAGCTACCAGTCTCAAAAGTCTGTTAAATTCCCATTTTGGGTTATGACCTACATTTTCTGTAATGGCTACTCCTGAGTGTAGATCAACTGCCATCCTTGAAGTAGTGCATAATTTTATTTTTATTTTTTGAAAGAGAGGGGGAGATCATGTGTGTGTTCTTGCTTGTGGGGGAGGGGCAGAAGGAGAGGGAGAGAATCTCAGGCAGGTTCCACTCCCAGTGCAGAGCCCCATGTGGGGCTTCACGACTGTCGAAGATCATGACCTGAGCTGAAATTAAGGGTCAATCAACAGTTGGACATCTAACCAACTGAACTACGCAGGTACCCCTGGATAGTGTACAATTTAACTTCCCAGATCTGTTGGAGGCTAAATGATAATAAATCACCTTACAACCCTCTCCCCTTCCTGCAGGACCAGTTCTGCAACAATGTAAAATTGGTGACGCTGGCTATTGCCCCTTCTCCACCCTCCCCAACACAACAATTCTTCAGTGTGCCTCCAGTCTTCCATCATGGCTCAGCTTGCTAACTGGGCCACTTCTTGAGCCAGTCTTGTGGGTAAACCAGTAGTTCTCGGCTTCACATCGGATCATCTGATCTGGTAATAATGGTCCCTGCATATGTCCATGTTCTAATCTTCATAACCTATGAATATATTACATTACATGGCAAAGGGGAATTAACGTAGCAGATGCATTTGATTTTGATACTGTAAATCAACTAATAGGAAAGTATTCTTGATTATCTGGGTGGGCCCAACGCAATCACAGGGGTCTTGGAATGTAGGAGAGGGAGGCAGAGAAGTCAATGTCAGACTGATGCAATATGAGAAAGACTTAACTGATGGTTGTTGGCTTTGAAGATGGAAAGTCAGCCTCTAGAAGCTGGAAAAGGTGAGAGAACTGAGTGTCCCGTAGAGCCTCCAGGAGGGATTCAAATCTGCCAACACCTTGATTTTAGCTCACTGAGAACTCTTTTGGACTAATGCATTATAGATGTATAAGATAATAAATTTATTTTGTTTTAAGCCAGTAAGTTTGTGGTAAATCATTACAGCAGTAATAGAAAACTAATATACCTGGGAAGCTTTTTTGTGTGTCAACTCTTAGTAACTTTCAAATATGCAGTACAGTATTATTAACTATAGTCACCATGTTGTATATTACATCCCCATGACTTATTTTATAACTGGAATTCTGTACCTTTTGACCCCCTTCACTCATTGCACCTACTTTCTCAGCCCTTGCCTCTGGCAACCCCCAATCTCTTCTCTGTATCTGTAAGCTTGGTTTTAGTGTTTTGTTTTCTTGTTTGTTTTTAAGATTCCAGGTGTAAGTGAGAGCATATGGTATTTGTCTTTCTCTGACTTATTTCACTTAGCATAATGCTGTCAGGGTCCAGCCATGTTGTCTGAAATGGCAAGATTTCATTCCTTTTTATGGCAGAATAATATTCCAGTGTGTGTGTGTGTGTGTGTGTGTGTGTGT